TTGGAGAAAGAATAAAAACTTTTGAATCACCAATAACACTTGTTCTACATTGAAGACTCAAGGAAGTCAAGTAGAAACCATTTGGACAAGTTGTCTTGATAAAAAAGTCCTTGTAATCATATGAAGAAACTGGACAAGTGCCTGCACATGTGCAATCACCACCAACTGGACACAATGTACAATCTTCTTGGAGGGATCTGGAGTTTGGATTGGTAGAGTTGAATAGGTTAGTTTCAACATTAGTTTCGAATGAAGGAACGAGGGTTCCATCCATGTAGGTCGTAGTAGAATAGACAATATTCTCACAAGTGACTGAAGCAAAGAGCAACAGAGAAACAGCAAGCAGAATGAATAGGCAAACCTTGTTGACCATTTTTTTTTGAAGTGACATCCTGTCATTTGAAATAGGTATTTCTTTCATTGTTGACTTTTGGAGCCAGTTAATGATATTTTAGAAAAAGTGCACAGGTGATTTAATCAACCGAATATTGTGCTAACATTACGAATTAGGCAGGTAGTAAAAGAGACATTGGTATGAGAAAAACAAGAGTACCACCTTAAGCAAGGATTTTTTGGAAATGAGCTTTTCGCACATATTTCACATTAATTTTTTATCTCATTTCTTTAGTATCTCTATAGGGGTGGTGAAGACTGTAGTTCAAAAATTGGGAAAAGTTGAACATGTTTGTAAAATCAAATGTTACAAAGAATTGTAAAAAAAAATGGAATTAAATGACAGTTGTGTTTCCCTTTCTCTCGATGCAAATTTTAAATCAAGCCTTTTGAAAGATCATTTAAAAACAAAACTAGATAGTCAAATCATCACTCATTCTCAATATTTACAATTATTTCGCATGTCTGCAGAATTAAATAATTGTACAATGTTAATGCCAAAGCTTCTTTTCAGAGCCACTAGAGATGGTTTCCGAAGTGCTGATTTTCATAGACATTGTGATGGAAAATTGAAAACTGTTACAATCATCAAATCAGACCAGGATGATTTATTTGGTTTTTATGCTACAAGAGATTTGGCTTCGAATTGTGATGATTTTGAGAAGGGAATTCTTATAAGGGATGATGAATCGTTTACTTTCAGATTAGAGAATGACAAGTGTTACACCTTTCATTTAGAAGAGGATAAGGCAGAATGTCCACTTGTTACCTATGATAGTACATTGTTACTTTCATATGCTTATTGTTTTTGGATTTCTGATCAGTCAGATGTGAAATATTCATCGAGTCAAGAGGATGTTGAGTTGCACATTCTTCCTCAGAATAGATTACCTGGTAAGAAGCAGAGATATTTCAGCGAAGATGATTTTCTGGTTAAGGAAATTGAAGTGTTCCATATTTTAGACTAATTTCTTCACCTGGTTAAAAGAAGAAATCAATTCTCACAAAAACTAAAATATGTTGTAATATTTAAATAGTAACATAAATCAATCAAGATTGGACTGCACAATATTTAATATTTAAATAATTTATATAATATTGGATAATATCAATATTTATTGAGTTGTTTAATAGAAAGATCTGTAAGAGAGG